GCATACCACCGTAAGGCAGCGGGGGGGGGGGTGGACAGGCCTTCTCACAGGGCTGTACCATTACAGGAATGGGGGTGTCCCCAGTGTCACCACAGACCCCTCGTGTCCCACGTCACCTTTATTGTCCCCTTGGGGACACGAAACCCCGCCCAGTGTGGCCACACCCCCCAAATTTGGGGTGAAAAGGGGCATTTTTGGCTGGGTGGGGGGACCCAGAGCGGCTCCGGTGACCCCAAGGACAGGGACGAGGTCCCCGAAGTGTCCCCAAAAATGGATTTGGGGGTGCCAAGGGTCCGGATTTACCCCCCGAAACCGTCAGGGGGTCCCAAACTGGCCCTAAAAACAGATTTGGGGGTCCCAAAGTTTCCCCCCAAAAATGGATTTGGGAGTCTTGAAATTCCAACCTAACCCCAAAAAAAAATCCCCCCAAAAAATTTGGGCATCCCAAAGTGTCCCCAAAACCCATCCTGGGGACCCCAAAGTGCCCCCAAAAACGGATTTGGGGCGCCCCAAAGTTCCAAATTTACCCCAAAAAATGATCTGGGGGTCCCCAAAAACAGATTTGGGGACCCAGAAGTCTCAAACCCCCCCCAAAAAATCCATCCTGGGGGTCCCAAATTCGGGGTCGAGGGCGGGTAAAAGCAGAAAATAAAATAAATTAAAAGCTGGGGGGGTTTTGGGGTGTCCCCCCGGTGTCCCCTCGGTGTCCCCTCGGTGTCCCCTCGGTGTCCCCTCAGTTCACCAGCAGCGCGCTGTCCTGCGCGGGAGCCCTGCGGGGACACAATTTTGGGGTGATTTTAGGAGATTTCGGGGGGATTTTGGGGGGATTTTGGGGGGAGGGACCCCAGGGAGACCCCCCCGGATCCCAAAAATTGCCAGAGGGGAGAGGGGAGCACGAGGGGTTGAGGGAGGGGCTGGGTTTGGGGTCTTTTGGGTGGATTTTGGGGTCGTTTTGGGGGGATTTGGGGCTGGATTTTGGGGTGATTTGGGGCTGGATTTTGGGGTGATTTGGGGCTGGATTTTGGGGTGATTTGGGGCTGGATTTTGGGGTGATTTGGGGCTGGATTTTGGGGTGATTTGGGGCTGGATTTTGGGGTGATTTGGGGCTGGATTTTGGGGTGATTTGGGGCTGGATTTTGGGGTGATTTGGGGCTGGATTTTGGGGTGATTTGGGGCTGGATTTTGGGGTGATTTGGGGCTGGATTTTGGGGTGATTTGGGGCTGGATTTTGGGGTGATTTGGGGCTGGATTTTGGGGTGATTTGGGGCTGGATTTTGGGGTGATTTGGGGCTGGATTTTGGGGTGATTTGGGGCTGGATTTTGGGGTGATTTGGGGCTGGATTTTGGGGTGATTTGGGGCTGGATTTTGGGGTGATTTGGGGCTGGATTTTGGGGTGATTTTGGGGTGATTTGGGGCGGATTTTGGGATAATTCGGGATCCCCCCGCAGGTGACACCGCCCAAGCCCCCCCAGGACCCCCCCAGCCCCCCCAGCCGGGGTCCGGAACGGCCGCAGCAGCAGAGGGCGGAGCAGGAGGCGGAGC